CAACAAAAAGACACCAACCGGGAGGTCCCGATATGTGGGAATCGTGAACCCACCCCATTCAGTTCATTCCACTGCTCCAAGAGCCAACTGCGAATAAAGGACGGCGGTTTCCGATCAAAAACCGGCTCCCAATCATGCGGTGTATGCGCGCAGGCGCGCACGCGTCTCTGGTGTGCACATTGTCTCCCCAAAACCAGCGCTCAACTTTAAGACGTTCGGTGGGGGAGGTCAGCTCACCCCCGAAGTCTGGCCACCTTCGTTTTGGACTCAGCCAGCTTTACATGAAGCCCTTAAGACGGACGGCCGGAGGACCTCTGGCTTTCTCAGGTGGGGATCAACCCGATGGCCATGATGATGGCCGGGCGGCGCGGGCGGTGTGGTGATACCTGTGGATGTTTGGCCGGATGGGGCGCAGGAGTTTCGGTGTCAGGTTGGTTTATAGGGTGTTTGGAGGCACCGAGGGCCGAAGAAAGCGGTTCTTAGCGAAGTGGGTGGAGGAGGTACTGAGGAGGTCTGGGGCTGGGTACGAGATCCGAGAAGCTAAGCATGGCCTTAAGGAAGGAAGAAAGAAAGAAAAGTAGAAATAGGAAACCAAAAAGGTTTGGAGTCTACAAGGTTGAAGAACAAAGGAAACGGATTCATCAAAGTGGAGGAAAAACACAAAGCTCTCAAGACGGCATGCAAAGTTCGAAGAAGTTTATCATGTGACGGAGCAAGGTCTAGTTGTTCGAGTTGTTGGTTGATGTTGGTTGTCCACTTTTCATCCACGGGAATCTACATGGGGGAGTGGGTGCGAGCCCATGCGAGGTCCCCCGAGATTGAACATGATTACAGGCTAGGGCAACATCTGTGAAGTATACTTTTTGCATTTGCCAATCTACTTAAGTTTTGTTTCACCAGCGGGATGAAACAGTAAGACGTTGATTCATCCACAAGTCCTATAGCCCACTCATATTGCAGCCGTGCTACCAAGGCCATGATGGGCATGGGCGGCAAGGGGTGAGAGTTGCTGGGGTTTGGAATGAAGTAAAGAACACATGCAGCTTCTTGCTCCTAGTAGCGATGCCAGGAGCCCCTAGTAGCTTCTTGTTACTACTAGTAAGGCACTTGTTACTAGAAGCGATGCACTAACTCTGGAAAAGCAAAAGGAAAAGCCTGGGCCACTGAAGCCATCAGAAACCTTTCTGGCTTAAGAGGGTCGGGGGCGAGGCTCAAGAGCGTATTGAATATGTTATGTCTCTGAATAGGTTCCTGACTTCAAAACATCCTTAATTGAAGCTTCAGCCCGAACCCCAGACTAGGAGAGAATAAGCGCAAAAGTAAAAAGGGTGAGGCAGAGCGAGCGAACCAGGTGGGATTGCGGTTGGAAGTGTTTGCTCGGTACTCACAACAACATCCTGAGCATGAAGACATCTCCTTAGTCCTTGAGGAGGCACTTCTTTTCAGACGCAGCTTGAGATGATTTAGTAAGGATTTGAGACATATATAATATATATACATATAGACATCATGCAGTCCGTTAACATTGTCATTTCCACCAGACATGATGTGGAACCTGAGGAATGACATGGAATGACTCATGTGGTGACACCGTTGAACGGTACGCCTAGGTGGCATGAACGGTATTTTGGGGCATGCTTCCCTCAAGGAAAGATTCTCACAGGATATGTATCGTTTTGATTCCAAATTCTGCTCCCACTTCCATGTGTCTTCCCACCCACAAGTGCAACTGAAGAGTTCGTTTCATAGCCCCCCTTGCACAGCATGACCGCGCCCTCTTATTTTGCACAGTCTTTCGGCTTTGAAGTGGGCTGAGTCAGCCTGGAACGTCACACGCTCAGCACCTGAACGTCACGTCACGTTCACCGCTCCCAGCGGATGGCACACTCCGAGTCCGAGTTTTCGATGGTCTCCGTGGCCAGGGATGCCACGGATGCCGCCACCACCCGGAGCCCCTTCGAGTTGATGAAGCCACTTAGCTTCTCCAAGGAGCTTTTGTGTTAGGCATTGACCTTGAACACGCGCAAGTGTCGGCAGTGCCACTATGTGATAATGTTTACATTCGACGAGAGAAGTTCTTCATAGACAATGGCCGCGCCGATATGGTGCCTGTATATAGAGTTCTCTCCCCGAAGTCATGAGGCTTCATTTATCTTTCGCCCAGAAGTCTTCCATGAAAACCCACCCCAAAATGTCAAAGCCGGACGGCCCAAAAGTGTTTGAGAGTGGAAAGCAGAGAGCAAGGATCGGAGAAGAGCAGGAGAACGAATACCTCCGAGATGCCGCCGATCGACTCAGCGTTGACTTGTGGGGCCCAAGCGTCCACGATCGCATTCGGGCGCTGGCCGAAGGGTCAGGTCCAGACGTGCAAACGCGGCTTCAAGACTTGACGTCCAGCTTCCAGAAGGCCAGGGTTTGCACCAGAAGAAGGGTGGGTCCCCAGTGTTGTCCGACGAATATGGCCTTATTGTCTTCCATGCCCCTCCAGAAGTCGAATTGGAATTGTCAATTGGAATTGTGGAGCTTGTGGATAGTACATGATAGTACTGTAGACTGTAGACTTAGTAGACTGCTGTTGGCCCTGCAGATGAGGATACAGTATTTATCAACTTCTCAGAATGCCTGTGACCCAAGACACAGCCAGAACGTTTTGTTCAGTGTTTTCTTGTTTCATTGTCTCATGCATCGCAAAATATATAGATGTCCGCCAGTCTTTGCAGATCTTTTTTTGAAAGGTCACTTGCAAGCGCATCTTCAGTATGCGGCTGAACATCAAGAATATGGCCTACACGGTGTTCGAGCTTCTTACACGCGAAGTGCAGGGTGATCAAGAAGTACCAGAAAAAACCTGCATGAAGTTGGAGGTTGGCTGCCGAGTCATGTTCAGAATATGTTTATTTCTGACCCAGTGTTTAGCACAAGGTTCACAAGTTGGATTTGGGGAACTTCTACAGACGTACCAAGAAAACTGAAACTGTGCGGAAGCTCACAAAGGATTTCTCCAGGCACAAACTCGTTGGAAGGAGGTTGGGAGAGTACCTTTGAAACCTCATGTAGCAGCAGTTCAGAGGGAATCTTTCTGATGTGATATGAACTTTTGCAGGCGACGAGAAAGCAAATAACTGCGGAGATTGAGAAACAATTGGAGGACTTCAGCATCCGCAGCAAGAAGCACGGACAGGAGGTGGTGACGTTGATGGGCGAAGCCAAGGCAAACTTCTGGCACTGCGCTCTTGGGTTGAAAGGCGCCCTCGCAGTTGGTACATGTGGTGCAGTGGTTGCTCGCTTGCTATATTTGGCTTCTTTCCGACCCGAAAGGCTTGCTTGGACCAGTTTTGTGAATCGTTGGTCCAAGCCAAGCTACAAGGATCCCTCAGGAAGAATCCACTACCAGAGACTGACCGCAGAGGAGGGTGGTATCAGACTTGAGGCCAGGTGGGCCCTGAGCTTTTGGTGTGGTATCCCCGTTCTGGCAATTCTGTTCGGCGGACTCGGTGCCCTTTGGGCATACCGCAGCCTGTGTCAAAAGAAGGTTGCAGAGACAGAGGCGGATGCGCACACACTCTTGAAAGCTGACATAGAGCGACACAAGAGGATGTGGGAGGGAATCCACATTGCAGTGCACTCAGTGGAGCACCATTTCCAGACTCTCCAAAGCCTGGGCGAAGACCAACCACTGCATCGCCAGGAGACAATCAAGAACCTCGTACGGTCCCTATGGGCAATGCGCATCTTGTCCCAAAATCGACAGAATTTCCCCAGTGAGTCCCAAGTAGCTAAGTCGATCCTTCAGTTCTTGAAGAATTCGCCTTATAATCCACCCAGCCTTTTTCATTTTGAGAGACAGATTTGGTTCTCAGGCATGGGCATTGACGAAATTTGCGTGTGGATGAAAGAGAACGGGTGCTTCCCACCCTCCTACAGCGTGCGCAATGAGATCGGACATGTGCTCCATGACCGGATTGTGAGCGTTTTCAACCAGGTGAAAGGCAAGGCTGGGCGCCAAGAGTGTGCTCAAATTGGAGTTGCATGATAGGGATGTGGGATGGTCATCCATTGCAGATGAAGGCTGACCAACCTACACAATGGTGGAACAAGCTTGAAACTCTCATGTCAGTCATGTCAGCGATTTGGACCATTCCGCATGGATTATGGCGGGCAGATGTCATCCAAAGAGACGGTTAGTTCATACAGACTTGTTCATGAGAACATGTTGAATCATCACGACTGCCGTGAAGCTGCTTCCTGTGTTTTCTTCGGACAAGACACGGGACACTGCTCTTGGTTCCGCCCGGCCCGTTGGACTAGGCCAAATGGGGTCAGAGATCAGCCAGTTTTAGAGGATGTTCCCCACCACAAGCTTGCAGAAATGTTACAAACATCCCGGAAGCCCACACAAGTGGAAGTGGCATGCTGTGGTTCCTCAAGATGAGCTCGATCAGGGCCGGGAGGCGGAAGCGAGAGCGAGGCGAGAATCTCCTGAAGATTCTGCACCACTTGGATGTTGTGAAAGTCACGCAGCAAAATCCGAACTCAGAATCTTTTCACGTGGTTTCTGGGCTGGTGCAGGAGTTCTTGCTATTGTAGATTCATTAGATGCATTGATTGTCGCATGCGTTGTGCCACGGCAAAAGCTTGAACACATATTTGTCTGCCTGTCAGACTGTTGCTTACACGATTCCTCACATGGTGGTCAAACAGGATTCTATTGTGGAATGACCGATATGGCGACACCTCGTTGAACGCCCTGAGCGGCATGAGCAGTTTTTTTGGACATGTTTCGCTCGAGGAAGGATATTCACAGGATACAAGTGATTAAACAATACATAAAAATACATATATATATATATAATATATGTATTGTTTCGATTCCAAATTGTGTTCCCGCTTCAATGTGTCTTACCCCAACTATGTAACTGAAGAGTTCCATGTGTGTTTTTACTGCGAAGTTTTTCCAAGCTGGCTCTCGGGGTCGCAGCTGCGACAGGGGTCGCTGCGCGATGGGGTGCGGTAGCTCACAAGCTGCCGCTGCGGCGCTCCCAAAGGCGCCCATACAGGTGAAGAAGATCCAGGCAACCCAAAGCACTGCCAAGCAGGTCGCGGTGGTTTTGCCTGGAAGCTATCTCAAGTTGCTGGCAGAGACCCGGCTTCTCAGTTCAGCTGCCATGAATTCATGTATGTAGGGATGCTCAAGATGTTTTTTTTGGTAACCTGGGGTTCATTGGACGGCATACATGCTCCTACAGGTTGGCTTTTTGGTCGAAGGTAATGGGAGATATTGCCGACCGTGATGTATGTCCACCTTTCCTTATCACAAGGTATTCAAATTTGATTGATGTGACAGACCATGCATCGCATGAATGGCCTGGAGAAATAAAAGGATTGAAGACTGCACACCGAATCTTCTTGTGGGCTCTTCTTTCGCTTGACCGTTGCGGAGCCGGTCGCAGCCCAGGAAAATGAGCACTATACCTATCACATCTTGGACCCTTGGATCGCTGAATGGCTTTTCACCTTCGAACAAAAAGAGCTTTCCGCTCGCGCGGAGTGAAGACTGAAGACACGGGTTTCGATCCTCCGAACGTTTTTGTTGACGTGTCCGACGTGTCAGTCATTCGCTGTTGTCAGAAGAACCACAGACACCGGTTGATAGAAGACACCTTCAGAATTTCACTGTGTAAGTGTTTATGCTCGATATGAATTTCTGGGGGTGTTTGGTGACTGGGCATTTCAATGATGTACCTATGTGTGCCAACTGATCCAGGACCAAGAGACATTCAGTATGTTTCGACCCTTTCACTTTCACGTGGATTCCTTCGTGGAAAGCGCCATCGAGTACTGCAAGGCCAATCAGATTGAGGCCAGCACTCCCAGAAGTGGGCAAATAGGGAGACAAGCACTCCCTGATGTGTCACTCTGATCGAGTACTGCAAATAGTCACATAGAGCCACATCAGGGTGACATGCAGTATTTGCAGGTTGGAAGTGGCCAGGCACCATCCAAAGTCCAAAGCACCACTTTGATTTGTGCCACCTCCAGTAGGAAATTCAAAGAGATGTATGGTGAGGGTGCTAGACTTGTGGCGAACGCACACTCCCTCCGTTTTACCTCAAGTGGTTCGAGAATGCCTTGTCCAATGAGTCCTTTTTTGCTCGGGCAAACGATGTGTTTCACAAGTGGTTGCAAGTATTGCAATGTATTAACCACATCATTTCTCAACTGACACCAGACGCTCAACCTATATCCAACAGCATGGACTCAAACCGAACTTGGGTGGTAGACGAAGCTGAGGTCACTCAGCCAATTTGGTACAAGGTGAAGAGCCCGTTGCTTTCCTCCATAAACGACGTTCGCAATTAAAACATAATAAACCACAATTTCACAATTATATAAGGATTTTTGTCCGCTATTGAAGGGCGCCCTTTTTTCCGGGCAATCTGACCTTGTCCTGACGTTGGTCTTTGTAACTTTTGCATTTTTGGTGGGGTTGTTTAGCAGCACTTGTCCAGTTGGGACATTCTGTGACACTTTATGACGCCTGTGTAGCTTCCACCTCCCAAAAAGACCTTGCGACCCCGTCACCCTGCCTCTTTGAGTTCGGGAGGGTGTCTTTGGCTTCGACTGCTTTCCGAGCTTGGTCGCTTCCATCATCAATACGTGGCTTGGACCATCAAAAGGCTTAAACTAAAAGGCATGCATCGACGGTTGCTGTTGGTTGGTCTAATACTTGATGTCCTGTGCTGCTGATCCTTGAATCACAAGAACTTGTTCAACCATTCCATTCATCTCAGGATCATGGAATATATTGTTAAGAGGCTGTGAGTTGAAACGTGTTGAAGACAAACACCAACTTTAAAAGCAAACAATCTAAGGCGAAGGTGCAAGGCCCAGGTGTTCTGTGGCGTGACAATTGGAATTCTGCCTGTCAACATGTAGTTTAAGGAACTCCCTAGGTCACTCTTGGAATCGACGATTGCATGAGCTGAATCACATGATGGTTAACTGTTTTGACAAATACATAGTTCTCCCCTCCATATTGACATCTTAAAAAGAGCACTTTCTTGATTCAAGCACATTTTTCAGGAGTTTGTCCTTTGTTTTTCCCGGTCCCTCCCCGGATCCCTCCGCCTGTCCAACCCCCCGCGCGATCCTGCCTCAGGTCCCTGAATCTGCCAGGACCCTCCTTTCGGAGCGTCTTTCATTGCATTAGCAAGTACTACATGAGGCGCATGGGCCGGAAGGGGCCATCCGGATGCCCCATCCTGGTTGCCTTGCCATGACACGTGTTTATTGCTTGGGATCCTTAGGATCCTTAGGATGCCTCACTATCCCTTATGCATTCATGTGGTGGTGTCTTTTTTGGTGTTGGTAATTAAATTACCGGGGACTGGTGGCTTTTTGGTGCTAAGCACCCACACCAGCAGCACTGAATTGGGTACTAAGATATGCGCCTCTCAGGGCTTCTCCTCTCATCTCACACAGTCACACAGCAGCAGAAAGCCCTCCCAACCTGGGGCCACCAGCCAGCCCTACCAACCCCAAAGCAGTTGGTCCTTAGCCTCTCGTCCCGGTTGGTAGGAAGGAGCTCTCGCCGCAGATTCCGATGACGGTGATCGACCCGCGGAAGGCCCAAAGAAGACGTCGGTGAGGGGGTGCAGAAAGATCAACATGTTGGCAGGTGTTTGGGTAGAAAGAGATGTGTTTTTCTTGGTTTCTTGAGAACAACGCATGCTTGTTCAAAGAGGCAAAGAGGTGCTTGAGCCAAGGGCCAAGGCGAGCATAAAGCTATAGGCGTGCTTGACAGAAACATGTACACGACGTGGTGTCAAAGACCTGCTAATCGAATTGTTAGGGAAAAAGAACGTATAGCTGTTCTTGATATACGTGTTCATTCTGTTGTTGTTTTTTTCCGATTGTTCCTTTGGACTCAACTTATTGGACCTTTATAGACAGAAGGCAGCGAACAGCATCAGTGCACTGTCCAGGCTTCGCCGCCCCAGAGCTTCCCTGTGGTGATCAAAGAGTGCCTCGGCACCGAGCCACGTCGCCCGTCACCCGTTCGTGACGGAACTGAATCCCGAAGAGCGGCCTGCCAGGACTCCAAAGTCGGGTCACATGGATGAAGCTTCTTGTTACTACTAGTAACAAGTGCCACGCTAGTAGTAACAGGTGCCTTACTAGTAGTAACAAGAAGCTATTAACTTAACATTAATTCTAATAGCTTCTTGTTACTACTAGTATGGCACTTGTTACTAGAAGCGATGCACTTGCTCCTAGTAGCATCCTTGCTCCTAGTTGGAAGAAGCAGTGTTCGCTGTTTTTTGTTTCATGCTTTAAAGACATCATATGAGAGATAGTTGATCGAAGAGTCCTTTTGTCCATCAAGATCAACCAGCATGAATCAAGGAGAATTTGGCATGTTGGTCATAGATGATCATAGCTAGCAGCTAGATGATCAATGTGCAAGACGGTTCCATAAGCAGGACTTTAGATCAACCACCGTGTACCGGTGGTTTTGGCCTCGGTCGGATGAAGGACCTCTTTTAATTTCTCCTACCGGATCACTTTAGCACCGAGTCCCTTGGTGGATGAGTCCCACTGAACTGATGGAGCCTCAAAGCTTCATCTTCCCAAAGATGCTTGGCAAGTGCTCAAGACCTAGGCCCCAACCAATCCCCCTCCTCCCACGGTTCTCCAACAGTTTTGTCCTCACTCTTTGAGAAACTGACTCATCCGCTCATTAAGGATCGACTGCCAGTTCTATGTGGGCACCTGGATCATCGAGAGCGAGGAACAGTGGCATAGTACCATGAAGATCCTCCAGTCTCGCTCCAGCGAGGAGATCAACGCGCGGAAGACGCTGGGCATCGTGGAGAAGCCGGATGAGCCGTGATGGCCTTCCAGTTGAAGGTTGAATCGTTGGTATTCACAGGTGCGACAAGGGCAGTTTGCTGTGACCCTGTTGAATGGTTTTGCCAACAGCTCTTTAAGGCGCGAGCTGTTTGGAACGAGGTAAGGTACATCCAAAAAGGTTACTCCAACTGAGCGCATGTTCAGACGAGTTCAGGGGGTGTCCCTTGCTGAAACTGTGTTTATCTAGTTCAAATTTCATGTGCATCTTGGCACTGCAACAGAATCATTAGAATTTGATAGAATTTGATACTGTACAGTCGGGAAAGCTTCAGTGCTAGTTCTGGCAAGACCCTGATCACCAGCCATCAGCACACTCGGCACACTCCGCACACCTCGAATGGAACCCACAATGACCATGGGTTTGGGGCAGTGCGAGCCATCCAGATGCTTGCACGTCGCTGGCTTTCGCCAAGGAAGTTCTACTTCAAATGGTTCCAGAAGCTGCATCCGAGCCTCGTTTTCCATCCGGAGTGTGGGGTCGAAGACTCGGAAGACTTCGCTTGGTAGAAGAAGCTGTTTGGTTTCTGGGGCCGAGATGTGGGAGTCATGAAGTAGTCATGCAAGGTAGTCATAGAGCATCATAGAGCTTGTATGTTTGGGACTTTGGGCTGAAGAACAAGACCTGGGATGGGACAGACGTTGACCAAGAGCGACACACGAGTGGCTTCGGACATCTTCGGGACAGAAGATGCAACAAGAACGCATTCTATTTTGACCCACTATACTCTGTTCATGCTTGAGCACAAGCTTTCGAGAAAATGTGATTTGAAGAGGTGGCAATCCTACAACTTCCACCACTAAAAACATTCATACATTTTTCTTTCACAGTTTGAGAACCATGGGAGAATTTGGTTGTGGAATGGTTATCGCGGATTGGCTATCCCCAAACTGCTAAGGCCAAATCATTGCTCTATTAACCATGCATATTATGTCCATGGTCATGATTAGCCACCACCTGGAGTGGAATTCCAAGAATTGACGTCTTTTGTACGATCATTTCCCCACAACCATGTGTCCATGGTGGGTGCTACAAAGTTGTACAAGCATCAAGAAGTGCATAATCGATGCGATAACATGATATTGAAGGAACATAATTCACTTATATCCACTTGTATTTGATTGCTTTTGATTGTATTGTATTCAGTGGATGTCCAACTCGTCTCAGATCTCATGGCATCTTTTTCATCCCACACCTGGTCACGGTGCCACTGGTCATCACATGTCACTCCAGAAGCGCTGGGTTTCTAGCTGCCGGGTTTCTCGCTGTCCGCAAGGAATGAGATGCCGGTGTCACGTTGGGAAGACTTTGTGATCTTTCACATGGAGCCCTTCCTCCCCGGTGACCGGGACGAGAAGCATGTGGGCTGTGTGGGTCAGAGAAGATGGTGTTCTTGTGCATTGTGCTTTGACAGAGTATAGATTCAGGGTAGAGAAGTCCAAGATTATGCGGCTTTGAGATTTGACGCCTATCACCAAAATGACCTTGCTGTGCGTTCATGGACCATTTTAGGCCACCGGAATTCCTTGGAGTAGCTATCACATGCTATCACCATGGTGCAAAGACCTGACAATGGATCAGAACAAATCCATCCAGATTGACAAAAACCAGATCGATTCAATGTGATTGTTTTTTTGGTGACTCGAACAGTGGATGAAGAGTGTATCGGTGGATGGAGCTTGTAACCTGGCAGTACTCTTAGAGTTGAAATGGTCGAGGTAAAGAACATCAGATCGAGATCGTCATGGAGCAAGAGAATCATTTGCGACTCGTCTTCGAGATCTCAGGCCTTTTGTCAGGGATTGGAGAGTCTTTTCTGCGGGAGTCGCAGCCACCAGTGGGAGGATCCAATCCGGTGCTGTCGATCAAGTGGTGTGGTTTGGCGACAGCCAGCCACTTTGGAACTCCAGTTCTGACCCAACTAGTGATGCTTGCCTCCATTGCGTGTCAGTGTGTGTGTGTCGGGATCAACAAGAAGACACCGCAACATGATTGAAAGAGATTCATTGCATCAGCTGACAGTTTGAGGGATGAGCACATGAGCAGGGGATGGCCGGGATGGCTATTATCCTATCTTGAGCACAAGATTTAGCACCAGCATGGTTGCTCGCAAGCAACGACAGAACACTGATTCTTCATGAAAACCTCAGCACCAACCATCGAATTGCTGGCAACCCCAAGCCAGGGTTGGAGCACTGATGACTGCTGCCATTGTACTCGTTCAAGTAGGCTGTGCACGACGATGTAGCACGTGGTGCCTCCAGGTAGTTATACCGTTATACCATATATATAGATTATTATAGCACAGATCCTTCAAATGCCGGTGAAAACCATGGCCTCCCAGTAGTAACCTCCATGTGGCATATAGATCCCTTCACCTACCGGCGAGGCTCGTGGCCGACACGGGCGACATCATCAAGAAGGACGGCGTCATTGCGCCTTGGTTGGCACAGCTGGCAGGAGGTGAGTGGTTTTGTTTTGGTACTTCCATCTACTTCCACAGGTTGTCAAATAGAGATCACCAAGTCATACTGGTTTGGACTAGAGAAGTCACATGAAAGAGCTTGTCGATAGCTAGGCCTGCTTGGGATCGAAACCTGAGTCTCATGCCTGGAGGCCCTGTAGACACAGCTAGTGGACATGTGTAGGGTTTGTCCGAAGTTACCTGTAACAGTCAGTAAACAATTATATATCATCATGTCATTTTTGAACAAGGCCTGCGACATAACCATCATCATCCACCGGGCCCAGGTAATAGGATAGACCCAAGACATGTGTTCAATACCTGATTATCCACCCAGGAGATAGAGCTTACTGATCCATGTGAAGCAGCTTAGTGATCCGGCATTGTAATGATCTACATTGGCCGTTTTCGGCAGGAGGTTTCCATGCTGTCCTAAATCGGGTCTTCAAGCTGATACCCTTTTTTGTTCAGAAAGATTTGCCCACAGTGGGGCCCTCTGCCCTCTGATCAAGCTCCGTCCGCTTGTGGCACAATTGGCCCTTTTCTCCGCCCTGGATATTCATGGATTGTCAGTCGATATCAGTCGGAACCAGGCGTTTCTACGCCGTATTGGACGTTCCGGCGTTTTGTGGTAGTCGACTAGTAGTCGACAGGATTCACCATTCACCTCGATCACAATGATGTTTTCGGTCAGTAACTTCTCTCAGAATTGGATCATTGAGTGTGGGTGTCCAAATGATTTCCGTTCTTCGAAAGCATAGCATGCAAAGCTATCACCTCGCGTCGCAGCGGCTTGCAGGGCATGTTCGTGACGCCGGGATCCTTTGACATCCCCACCGAGTGGGCACATGATATCTGCAAGAAGTTGCATGCCATGGGCTACAAGAATCAGGCAGCTGCCAGTGCTTAGCTATACATGTTGTGCTGCGCGTGTGAGTCTCTTTGAGTGTGTTTTTGTGTTGAGAGTTGATGTGAGTTGATGCTCTCTGCAGGTTGAAAAGGGGCAGATCGATCAAGTGTGCCCCATGTTTCATGTAACATTCAAGTGAGAATGGAGTTGCCGCTAGACTAGACCGGTTCCGCAGTAGAAACATGCAGAAACCCTTGTGGGGAAACGGATCACACGGATCCCGACGCCGCAGGCAATCGATTTGGAGTTCATCTTTACCAAGGACGGGCCGCAGGTGGTGGAAATCAACAGCCGCTACAGCTCCTGGGCAACAGGCAAGCGATGATATGAACTTGAAATGCCAAGGACAGAGGTCTTCCAATCCAAGGCTAAATGTGCTTTTAGAAACTATGGTGTTGCTACTTTGCTACTCTTTTGCACAAAATAATGTGCCCTGGTGTTAGAGATTCCTCATCCATTTGTTTTCTCACTAGGTTAGAGATGGTCAGAGTGAGCAATTCTGCACAGCCGCGAGTTGTACTTCTCCCCCAAGCCTACCCAGTCAGTGGACAACCTTTCACCTTTCTTGGGATTGGTTTCTCCACTGAAGGCATAAACAGGTGGAAAGTTCGGGTTTGTCTAATTATTATCCGTGATCTCCGGCTTGGGGGTCAGCAAGAAGACCAGCCAAATGAACATTTAAAACTCCTCCCCTTTGGGGTGACTTACATACGTAATCCTTTTCATTCTGAAAACAAGAAGCTACTAGGAACAAGTGCATCGCTACTAGTAACAAGTGTCTTACTAGTAGTAACAAGAAGCTACTGGGAACAACACCTCTTTGGAGCCACAAACTCACGGGATCGACGGACAATTCCTCGGGAGCCCGAGCCAAGAGTCCTCCGGTGCTTCGGTGAGCTGGTCTTCGGCCCTGGCGCATCCAGTACTCGACTGGCGCGAGGAAAGCTAGGTCACCTGAGGAAAGTGAGGAAGGTCAAGTAGATCCACTAAGACCTCAAAGTAGCATGTAAGACTCTGTAAGACCTCAACGTCTGAGGGTTTCTTCTTTGCTCAGGCTACATGGGCTACTGGTCCTGGTGACATGGGCCGCAAGAGGGTCGCAACGGGGGATCAGGAGGTGAAATGCAGGAGTAAACTCTTGATGAACAGGACCTGGAAAGCATTCACATGCCAAGCTGCCAAGCTGAACCACTGTCGTTGCACCAGGCAGTGCCTTTTGTGTGGTGACCTGGTGCTACTGCGATAGGCGGGAGCGATTTGAGGCGCTTCCCAGTGGTAACTATTATTCCGGGGCCTTTTACGGACAGCTAGCCGGCAAACCCATCCCATGAACCAACCTTTGGCCCGGTCAAACATTAGAAGCAATCGATGACGCTCAAAATGTGAATCTCAAATTGCTTCGTGGCGCTTGCTAGAATGGCCCATCTTCCCGAAGAAAGCGCGATTGAAGCCCGAAGACAATGGCAGATCCTCTCAGTTCACGCTGTGACGGAATTCCTGCCGCTCGAACTGATCCATCCACTTCACCGGAACCCTGGACAAGTGGCTCCACACCTCGCTGAGGTATGAAGTCCAGTCCGAGAGTTCTCAGCTGAAGCACAAGGCGGACCTCCGGAACCTGGAGAACCGCGCCCCGGTGCTTCCAAGATCTGCCGCGAACTGGGGGCGGGTCAAAAGGGGAGGGAAGGAGGTCGTTCGCGTTCGTTTGGGTTTCTTGGCTCACAAGTTCTCCAAGAATCTCTTAGGCCTGGGAGCTGTGGATGCGTATCGCTGTAGCATAAGACCCCGCTTTCCTTGCTCCTCACCTTTGGATCCTTGTAGCAGCAGGGGCCTATGTTTCAACTTCTGCTCGCTTTCTCATTCTTTCTCCACGATGGCCTCCAACCTACGTAAGAACGATGGCGCCGGTGCTTCACCGGCCAAGTTTGTTGATCTTCCATTTATGGGCTGGGCCAGATGGCCCGGAAGTGAGATCCATGGTCAACGCAAGGGCCAGTTGCCACTGACAAAGATGACCATGCACATAGAATCCACCAGCTTTCGAAGGGAACAACTTCAGCGGCACTTGACTGCAGCAATGTTTCACTGCGCGGCCTGGTAGGGGTCAGAACCATGCCCAGGCGTGCTTCCGGCCCAGGCGTTTGCTCTTGCCTCGGCTTGCCGTGTCCGAAGTTCCCCTCCGATACCAATGTCGTCAGCAAGCTCGCAGTGGCAATTTACACCACCAAGGGCGGGAAAGTGGAGGACCTCCTCCAAGGTCTTCCAGTCGTCGCCCGCTCATAGGGCCAGGCGGTGTATTTTTGGAGGGCGCCGCATGGTCTACAGAATAGACCAGATATTTTATTTTTCGGCGGATAGATCATCCTGTTGGTGTTTGAGGGAGTGAAAACCACCGGTCAGTAGATGCGGGGTAAAGGCTTTTCCACTGGAACAAGGTCGTGAATCAAGGATGGAGGATGAAATGGGTCTAACATGTGTGTGTGTGTTGCTGCCAACAGCCATTGGACATTTGCAGAAAATATGTTATCGGTACGTGATTGCATGATTTGTATGCATTTGCATGGCTGTGTGCAAGTCATTCAAAAAAAACATACATATTGAACTGTTTATGTTTGCTTAGGAAGTTATGCACCGCATCCATGTCCCTAATGTAGCTGAGCCTGATAATGATCCTCAGCAAACAACTGTGTTGTTGACACCGGCCCATGATGCGTAATAACGCAGATTGTCATCGCAGAGGTCTCCGTCATCTTGTGGCAGAAGGGATCTCTTGTCCATCAGAAGTATTGAAAACGGCCAGGACATTGTTGACCTGGACTTTTTGAAGAAGTTCGTGGCGGAGGGCTATGCTGAGTGCTGGACACCAAAGCCTGCCTTCAAGCAAGGCTGTAAAGTCGGGGAGAAAGGATATGTCAAATACATAGTACGGATATGTATGGATGATGTGACCATAATTATCTTCCAGTAAAATCTATACTGTAGTAGTTTAACTTAATTTGTAGTAGTGCTATTCGCAGCAGTTCTGTTGGACAGTGGCCACATCCAACAAAGGTCCCACTTCAGCCACTTGTCTCTTCATTGTTTGGGACGAAGTCATACGTTACAATGAAGCTGCCAAGGAAAGAATTGCTTAGATGATTGAGTTAGATTTTCAGAATCGTCCAAGTTAGGTTTTCGATCTGCACATTTTTCCCAAAAGACTTCTCGCCTGAAAGAGGTTCTTCTGTTAGACCCAGAGCCATGCCTACAGCACCACCATTACAAGCATCATGATGACTGCCCTGGCTTGTTTGCAAAGCCAAGAAAACGGTTGCGGGGCAGGTTTTATTCCTCCTGAGGCGGGTGCGGCTGTGTTCGGGCGGCAACTCTGGGGTGATTTGTTCAAGCATCACTCAGTTTTGAACGTCCTCCAATAGATCTTAGAACGGATTGTGCCAACCTTGATGTTCAATGAAGAAACCTCCTGTAGTTAGTACTCAGTAGAGATGGATCTGTGGAAAGGGCTTGTTGTCCATGATGCAGGTTAAGTCTCCCAACTTTGGAATCTCGATAGATGAGAGGAATAGCAGGAGAGTGGATTAAAAAATCCTTTGCGCGCAACAACAGGGAAGATCAGTTTGGGGGGGACACGAGAACGCCAAGGAATCTGGTTGAGATATGTTGAGATCCGATTTTATGCTTAGGTTGAACGCTATATACATAGTCCTTCTAAAACAGGTGGTCTCAGACTTAGCGAACGCCCCTTGCTGGACCAACAGCCACATTGATTTGCTAACAGTCATTGAGTTTGACTTCACTGGGCGTGGTCAGACGCGTCGGTTTGCCAAAGGGTGGATAGACAAACTTTGTTTTGGCCGAAGTCCTGTGTTCTTGCCGGAAAGGAGGAATGAAAGCCAAAGACAACGTTTTGCAATTTGCTTTCATTGGGTTTACTGTATGTTCATCCATGTTCCTCCTTTGGCTCCCAAACAGTAGGGCTTCACAATTAGCAAGTTGCTTGCTCTATTTGCTTTTGATCATCACCAATCGTCACCATTGCTGCAAACAACAGTATATAATTTAAAAGAAAACACCGGCTTCAGATACTTTATGATCAACCTTTACTTGGTTGACTCCACTGGCTAATATTGTTCGGTTGAAACCACCAAGCAGAACACTCGGACTACCCAACATACCCAAGCATCTCCAAGCACCTCCCAAATATGACCAACACTCCATCTCCCACTCCATCTCATGACCTCCTCATCCACACCGGGGCTCGAAAGGAATTCGTCTACGGCGGGGGCAAATGGGCGAAGCTGGGCTTCATGATGTTGACGGCGAAGCGCACGGACTTCGAAGCCACCAACGCCAAGCTTCGGGTCCCTGAGCCCAGTCCGTGCGCAGATCGTGTTGTGCGCTGCTGGTGCCGCTGCCGCGCTGGGGCATGGAATGGGTGAATGTGGGTTTGGAAGAGGTGTTACTAGGTTGGAGGATGTTGGAGGCCATCGCTTCTGGGTTGGAGGCCATTCCAAGTGTTAGCTTGGAGGTCATCGCTACTAGGTCTAGAAGAGTCTAGAATCTTCTAATAGCTTGGAAGCCTGTATTTTGAATCTCGCCCCAGTGGGTAGTCAATGTTCCGAACCTTCAAAGGGGTCGATCTGGTGGTCTCCGTATTCTATAAACACCCATTTGTAGTCTCTTGATGTTTGAACCACCTCCCCAAGCCTGAGGAGCTATTGCATGTCTGGGGGGTTTTATTCATCACTGGTCTACATCATGCTGGTTGATGGGAGGTACGTGGAAGAGTCGAGTTGGTGGGATAATGTGGAAGGGATGACGAGTTGGTGGCTTTGGGCGGTCAAAGACCAAACTACTTGCCCCTACTGAAGAACATTCTAATGGCAAACATCGTTACTACTAGTAAGGCACTTGTTACTAGTAGCGATGCACTTGTTCCTAGTAGCTTCTTGTTACTGGTTTGGGTTTATGACTTCAAATATAACTCCATTGTTATGCACACACTGAAGAACATCTCCGAGAAACGACCCCTTCATCAGTGTGCCTGTCCAACATGATTGGGCACTCGTTGCAGGGGGATTGTGAAGCTTTGTGTATTTGTTTTCTGGGCAAGGGGCGCATGATGATTGCAATCACTGAGGATATGTACACGAAGATGTTCAAAGAGCCCAACAGCTACCTCCTTGCGCAGGACATGTGGACGTCCGACGGAACTCTTTCTGCGCTTTCGCGTCGCATGTGAGGCGAGCCACAGTGGCTCAATGTAGGCGAGCGCACGGGACGAAGTCATTCAGGAACGAGCAACTCGAAGACACATACCCTTCCCTCAATCAAGTCATGAGTATCTACCTTTCACATGTGGTGATGCAATTGATGTTCTGTTTGAACTATATGTTCAAATGTTCCAAAGGTATTATAGGCTCTATAGTGCCATACCATTTGCCATTAAGACAACTTTCGCTGAATGTCGTGATCCCACCATGCAGTGTTCAGCCTGTCAGGATGATGAGATCGGGTATGCCGTGGACAAACATGCCATCGACTACTAGGGTGACAGAGCATGCCTTCGACTTCCGCCGTGGCCTGGGTTCTGCATTTCAATCGATCAGACACCAGCCACATTTCGGAATCAAAAGACCAAAAATTACTCAGGAGCAGACTCAAATAGCCCAGCTTGTGCTCCAAGTCTGCTCCCACTGCGATCCACCCAGCTTTGCAAGTTGGACGGAAGGAATGAGCGAAGCTGTTCCTCCGTTACCGCTTGTTCTCTCGGCCGCAGGTGTGAACTGTGGGAAGTTCGTTTGGCGATGAAGGGTTGAACGGAGTTGCAGCGATTCGATGCGATTCGTTTCAGAGATAGCTGGCTTGATCTTCCAATCATAGACCCTTCAAGTAGTGAACGTGTTCCATATTAATTTTTGTTCTTTTTAAAACAGGTTTCTTGGGGCTCTGCTCAGTAGCACTCTTGGTGAAAAGGGTTGGCTCCCCCAGGTGTCCAAACACGGTCCTTTTTGGAACACCTTAAGCCTTACGCCCTGGAAGAACGTGGAACCTGAAAACCACTTGTTTGTGAAGGAAACTAGTCTTCCAAAGGTCCGTTTTGAGCTTCCCTATTATATTCATCATATTGGTGTAACGGTGTAACGTCTTTCTTTGCAGTGTTCAGGCCTGATGGGGGTTCGTGATGGGGGTGCCACCATGTGCCATGAAGCCGTTTACCACAATAAATACTAAAACAAAGAAAAGACAAGTAAATATACTTAAAATTGAGTTAAATGCTTATTTAACAGGTCCTAGTAGCGTCCTTGTTACTACTAGTAAGGCACTTGTTACTAGTAGCGATGCACTTGTTACTACTTGCAATGTTTCCACGATCGGTCACAGACATTGCTCTCACACCTTTGCGGTCTGCGGGCGGTCTGCGGCGTCGCCGTCGCGGTCGGTGAAATCGACCGAAAGGTCGGGCTGCCAGGGTGGCCAGAACCGATGGTGGTCGAAGGCTTTGGAAAAACCCGGGTGAAGGAATCGAACAACAAAATAGAACTTGTGGAAGTGCATGGCAACAACCAGGGGTGAATTGGAAAAGTCCCCTGATAGACGCCGAGTATACAGGGCCTTGGCTGGCGGGTTGTTGGTCTTCTAGAAATCACGTCATCCACACAACGTGAAAAGTGTACGGATGCAAAGTTGAAGACATCTCTGGCCGATTGAAGCTCCGTTTTTGCAATATGATCTCTTTTGATCATTCAATCAAGTGAGTTTTCTGTATTCCTCGAAGGTCTGACAGTGGCACACCGTGGCAGACGCTCACTCTGCGTATGCAGTTCGTGTGCCTCGTGTGGCTCCGCCCTGTGCGGCGCGCTCCACAGCGCTTGCACCCAACGCCTCATGAAAAGCTGTGTGCGGCGCTCGCAGCGCTGGATGAGAAGAGCATCTGGATGGGCCAACACTGTGCGACGCGACTAGGGAGAGTTGAAGATCCATGTTTCTTCTTTTCAACAAACAGGAGAATGTATACCATGCGGTTGTTTGTGATCTTCGTCTTGAACTCTGGGAATGCTGAACTCACCACAAATGTTCAAAGCGATGGCACTCATGCAGAGGTTTTCTAGTACGCAAGGACGCTACTAGGGGCTCCTGGCATTACTACTACTAACAAGAA